AACAGAACAAAACTATGAGCAAAATGGCAATAACATATTTGCACATATCAATAGTCACTCTAAATATTAATGGACAGAACTCACCAATAAAAATGCAGATTAGTTGTATTAATAAGGAGAGCCCACCCTTTTGCTGCCTTTAAGAAACACACCTAAATTTCCAAAGACAAACATATATATATATATATATATATAACAAGCTGCAAAACAATTATTACAAGCAAATGGCACCAAAAGGAAGGCAGGGTCGGCTATACTTATATCAGCTAAAATAAGTTTCAAGACATAGGTATGGACAGTATATAATGATCAAAAGCAAAATAAAGCGGTGGATATAACACTCATGAATGCATGCTTCCCATACAAAGGAGCCCAAAAGTACATTAAACAACTACTTTCAAGTCTGAAAACAGACACTCTAGAACTACCTATGTGGCAGTAGACTTCAACACCTTATCTTACCAATGTACAAATCAGCAAGACAGAAAATAAACTGATAAAAGTTCCCTAAACAAAAATTTAAAGCATGTGGGTCAAAAGCAAATACACATTTTTTATTTCAAATGCACATGGAACATTCCCTGGGATCAACTGCATACTGGGTCACAAGATAAATATTAACAAGTACATTATAATTGAAATCATATCAATTATGTTCTTGGTCCATAAAAGTATCATACATGAAATCAGCTGCAAAAAGAAGGAAAGGAAATACTTGAGTATGTGGAGACTGAAAAACATGCTACTGAAAGGCCACATGTTAATGAAGAAATCAAAGCGGAGATTAAAAATATACTTTGAGACAAATAATGAGAATACAACTATGCAGAATATATGGGACAAATGAAAAGTAGCACATAGCGATACAGATCCTCATCAAGAAATATGAAAGACACCAATGAATAACCTAATCTATCACCTTAGGGAAATAAATAACTAGAAAATAATAATAATAAAAAAACCTAAAAGCAAGTAGAAGGAAGGAAATCATTCAAATTGAAGCAGAAATAGATGAAATATGTCAAAAAGACAGTCCAAAAGCCAATGACAACAAAAACTGATCTTTGAAAATATAAACAAAATAGACAATACCCTAAATAAGTTCATTTAAAAAAAAGGGAAGAAAACTCAAATAAATATGATCACTAACAAAAGAGGAGAAACTACAGCAGACAAAGCAGAAATCCAGAGTATAAGAGATTACTATGAGAGTCTATATGAAAATAAGCTCAACAATCTTAATAAGGTAGAAAAATTCTAAGACTTGTACAATCACCCAAAGATGAATAAGAAAGATATAACACTAGAGAAAACCAGTTGCAAGCAAAGAAATTGAAACAAAAATCAAAACTCTTCCCGAAATTAAAAGCCTAGGACAAGATAAGTGAATTCTACCAACTTTCAAAGGTAAACTAATACCTATTTTGCTCAAACTTTGTTTAAAAATTGAAAAAAAGTAATATTTTCTAATACACTAGTACCAAAACCAAACCAAACAACACCCACACAAGAAAAATGCAGGCCAATATCCCTAATGAAAACAGATACTAAATTTTGCAATAAAACTTTAGCAAAAGAATCCAACAATGCATCAGAATGATTATACAACATGACCAAGTGATTTATCCTAGGTACACATGATAGGTCAACATTCAAAAATGAATTAACATAATTCACAACATCAACAAAAAGAAAGATAAATTCCACACAATCATATAAATAGACACCAAGAAAGAAAGCATTCGAAAAGAAAATTGACACCTTATTTGATGAAAACTCTTGAAAAACTTGGAATGAAAGGAAAATATCTTGACAAAATATAAGCCATATGTGACAAATCCATAGCTAGCATCATTCTCAATGGTGAAAAAATTGAAAACCTTTCCACTAATATCCAGCACGAGACAGTGATAGCAATTCTCACCACTACTATTCAGCATAGGATTCCACATGTTCAGAGGAATTAGGCATAAGAAAGCTATAAGAGGAATCCAAACTGCAAAGGAAGTAATAAAGCTATAATTACATGCAATTGTTATGATAATATGCAAGAGAAATTAGAAGACTCCATGGAAAAACTATTTGAAATAATTAGTTCTGCATAGTATCAGCATACAAAATCAACACACAATAATCAGTTGCCTTCCTATATAAAATAATTAGAAGAATTAAGAAAACCATCAATTTACAATCTTACAAACAGACCTAAAAATCTGGAAATAAACTTAAAAGAGGTGAAGGACCAAAAATAAAAATATATAAAACACTGTTATAAAAAATAGAAGAAGGTACAAACAGGAGGAAAGTCATTCCCTGCTCATGGATTGGAAGAATCAATATTAACAAAATAGTCATTTTAGCCCAAATCATTTACAAAGTCAATGCAATCCCAGTTTAAAAAAAAATCTTAGTGAATTCTGTGAAGAAATGGAAAAAATAATGCTGAAATACATATGCTATCACAAACTACCCTAAATAGCCAAAGTGCTCATGACTAGAAAGTGGAAGACGGGGTGGTATTATCCTTCCAGATTTCAAACTATATTACAAAGCCATTATAATAAAAACAACATGATACTGAAACAAAAGACACACAGACCAATAGAATAGAATTGAAAGCCCTGAAATGAAATCCAACATATATGGCCAACTAATCTATGACAAAGGAGCAAAGAATGTACACTGGAACAATGAAAGTTTTTTCAAAAAACAGTGTTGGAAAAATTTTACTGCCATATGTAAGTGAATGATAACAGACTACTATTGCAAACTATGTACACAAACTCAAAATGTATGAAAGACTCGAATTTAAGAACAATAAAAATATATTGGAGAAAACTTAAGCAAAATACTCCATTGGCTAAACTTCATAACCACCCTTGAGAACTCATCTCAAGAGCATCGCAAAAAAAAAAAAAAAAAAGTAAAGAGTTTGCACAGTAGTAAATTATAGAGTTCCTGTATGGCCAAAGAGGCAGTAATCAAAATGTAGTGGGGTCACTGAATGGGAGAAAATTTTAGCCTACCATATATATAAAGGACTGATATTCATAGAAATATGTAAAATAATTGACAAAATGTATGTTAATTTTCCAGGGGCACTTGTGGGTTATCATTAAGTAAGGTAATAAGCGAAAGGTAAAAAAAAAGTTCTACAAGTAAATGCTTGCAGTTAGAACTCTCCATGTATGTTTGTGGGAGGTGGAGATTACAATTTACATATAGCTTCTCTGTATCTTATGAGTGTATGAAAGAGCTGGTTTCTTCTTTTCATTGTTTACTTTTTCTTAATACTAAGTAAAAGTTAAATTTAAAATGCTGTCACAGAAATTTGCAGACTCAATGCAATCCTGATAAAAATTTCAGTGTCGGGCCCTCCCTGGTGGCGCAGCGGGTTAAAGCACTGCACTGAGAAAGTAAAGCCACTTTCGCATGAGTTCGATCCCCGCCTGCCCCGGGGGTGACCACATGGCGTGGCAGACCTCTCCTGACCCGCCCGCTGCTCCCCTCAGCAGTGTACTTCATCGATCTGCCTGTTCTGCTTCCCGCTCTGTCTCTGGTGAATCCTCTCACCCTCCGCATCTCTGGCCTGTACCCCAGTTCTGTATTAATAAATAAATAAATCTTTAAAAAAAAATTTCAGTGTCATTCTTCAAATAAATGAAAAAAAAATTACTGAATTCAAATTTAATGACCAAAGACTGCAAATAACCAAACCTATCCTAATAAAAAAAAAGGGTGGGTGTGTGTGTGAGTGATGGTATTGCATTTGTAGGATCTAGACTGTACTATTAAGCTGTAATAGTAGAAACAGCATGGTATTGGAACAAAAACAGGTACACAGACAAATGGACAAATGAAATAGAATTTTATTGAGAAATAAAACCAAACATATATGGGCACCTAAATGAATGGTGTTGTGAATACTGGGCTCCCACAGACAAAAGGCTGAAAGTAGTACACTATTTTGCACTATCCACAAAAATCAACTCAAAGTAAAAAATATATGTATTTTGATGCAAGACTTGGTAATCATAAAATATATAGAAGAAAACATAAACAAAACACTTCATGGCATGAGCATCTTTTCAGATTCCTTCCCAGAAGAAAGGAAAACAAAAGATAATGTAAACAATTGGGAATATATGAAATCACTGTTTAACATATCAGGGAAATGCATATAAAAATGACAATGAGATACCACCTCATACCATTGAAAATGGTCCAGAAACAGCAAGTGCTGGTGAAGGTGTGGAGATAATGTAATCCTCTCACATTGTTGTTGGGAATGTAGACTGGCTTAAGCAATATGGCAAACTGTGTGAAATTCTCAAAAGAATGAATATAGATCTTCTATATGATTCAGCAATTCTATTTCTAGGTATCTAATGAAAGAATACATAAACCATTAATTTGAAAGGAAATCTTGAAGGGTTGAGAATAGTATAGATAGGCACACTGTGGGATCCAGAACGGCACTATGGCTGCTTTGGTGTTGTAAGTGCTATAGTGCCTACAACTGAGGGTGGAAATCACGCACTGCCAAAATACTAATGAGGTCAGTATATATATAGAGATAGATAGATAGATAGATAGATAATATATCTATCTATCTATCTATCTATCTATCTATATATATATATATACTGACCTCATTAGTATTTTATAATATATATAGATAATATATCTATCTATCTATCTATCTATCTATCTATCTATCTATCTATCTATCTATCTATCTATCTATATATAAATGAACATTGCTATGTTACAAAGTAAGCTCAAGCTCAGAAACAACTTAAAATGGAGCTTCAGAACAGGGGATAAAATATTATCAGACTTTGCTCTGAGTATCTTAGGTATTTAATAAATAAAGCACACTATTTAAATCACCTTTATAAATTACACAATAAAATAAATCAGATCATAGTACTCACAGAAAACTTGTTTTTATTTATTACAGTTCCACAGAAGTAGAAATGCTCATTTTGGAGTAGTTAGCGTTTACTGTGGTAAGGCCATTCTGTGAAACTGAACATTCAGTTGTTCTTTAAAGCAGTTTATGAATCCACTTTGCTTCAGGCTGAGGAATAAAGATGAAAAATGAAATTAAAAATAATGTAAGAGATAAGATTATTTTCGAGTTATGTTTTGTTTCTTAATGTGAGTCTGTATTGCTATTTCTTTTCCTTCTAGTACTGCTTAAACTTTATTAATTACAGAGGGTTCCTGGTGTGTTTAGGACCATAGAAAACAAAAAATGCCATAGATGGATGGGAACTTGTATATCATTATTATTAATTATTTAAAATGCATGTCATTTTACTCTATCTCAGACCTACCAAGTCAAAGTCTGGGATGGCATCAGCAATGTGCATATTTATCAATTGATCTGGCTGATCCTAAAAACTGCTGAATGATGAGAAGTATTGAATATCAGTACAACCACTAATATTTGTGTAAAAACCAGATCCCAGTAATGTTACATTATAAATCTAAGATCTCACAACTATTTTTTTAAGATTTTATTTATTTATGCATTCAGAACTGGAGTACAGGCCAGAGATGTGGAGAGTGAGAGGATTCACCAGAGACAGAGTGGGGAGCAGAACAGGCAGATCAATGAAGTACACTCCTGAGGGGAGCAGCGGGCGGGTCAGGAGAGGTCTGCCATGCCATGTGGTCACCTCTGGGGCTGGGATCGAACTCATGCTGAAGTGGCTTTAGCTTCTTACTGCTGTGTTTTATTTAACCTGATGCACTACGAGGGAGGGTCCTCTCACAGCTATTTTAATGAACTAGAATATTCATAATTGATAATATAAAAAACAAAAATACACCAGAAATAACTGATAATAACACTAAATTCCACCACAATAAATCAAGTTTTTCCACCTGTGTATACTATTATCTACTGTTTGCCCACAAATACATAAAAATTTGCTAACCCACAGGGACTACAACTGAGATGGAAAAATGTACAAAATGAAGAATGATGTAAAAAACAAATTTTTTGCTAACTTGCAATTATGCATTTTTTCCTCCTGCTTCTTTCTCATAACTTTATGGAATAAATCTTCCATTTAATTCTTAAGATTTCATAATTATCATTTCAATGAATGCATACTACCTTATGTTTTGGATTTTACTATACTATTTCCCTAATTTTGTACATATAGTGTAATTAATATATTTTTTCTTCTTTTTTTAGGTTTATTTATTTATGCATACAGAACTGGGGTACAGGCCAGGGATGCAGGGGTGGTGAAAAGCTTCACCAGAGAAAGAGTGGAAAGCAGAATAGGCAGATCAACAAAGTACATGGCTGAGGGGAGCAACAGGCCTGTCAGGAGAGGTCTGCTGCGCTATATGGATCACCTCTGGGGCCAGGGATGAAACTCAAACTGAAGTGGTTGTGGCTAGCTTGCAGTGCTGCGTCCTAACCCATTGCGCCATCAAGGAGGGCCCTATATTTTCTTTTTATAGATAATTCAATAATATTTAAGAATCACATTTTTATCTTTCTTAGAAATATCTTTTAATTGTATTTTAAGTCAATGATTGTTTACAATACTATATGATTTAAAAGTATAGATTCACTTCTTCAGATAAGTTATACCATACCACACCAACACCAGAATACCCACGATACTCTAACGGACACCTCTCTCCTTTGTTTCTTGGTGCCCACTCTTCCCCTCTGATAGCCACAGTTCTATGTTTCACTTTGTCACTGTATATTCCACATATGAATGAAATTGTCACTCTATTTAAAGAACACAAAAAACACTAATTCAAAATGAAACCTGCAATCCTTTGTTTATTACAACAGTATAATAACCAAGATATGGAAACAATCTAAGTGCTCCAAACAGATGAAGAGGCCAAGAAGATGTCGTTTATATACATAATAGTATATTACTCAGAGATTAAAAAGATAAACTAAGGCCATTTGTAGAAATATGGATGGAGCTGGAAGGGATTGTGATAAGCAAAATAACCTATCAAGAAAAAGATAAATACTGGAAACTGTCACATTGGTAATATATGGAATACAGAGAAACCGAACTAAGAATCTGAAAAATACAAACTTAATCTCTAACCCTTGACAAATGACTGTGTAACTGAAGTATCCGAAGATGAAGTATGCAGGGAAGGAAAGGAACAGAGAGGGAAGGAGGCACAGTGGGCTTTGGTGATAGACACTGAATTATTTACAGTAAGGTGGTGATAAGTGATAAGGAGACTCCTAATCTTGCCACAGTTAAAATGTAAATATAAAACCACAAATTTTAAGTAAAAGAGCAATATTATATGATGTAAATTTTCCAAAGGAACACTCATTTTGCAGCACTGATAATATAAAGGAGGAAGATTAAAAGCAGGAACATTTCTTAGGAGGTTACTGCAGTAAGAGAGTAAAGAGATAATAGGGTCTGGGACCACACTGATAGCAGTGTAGTTGATGAGAAATGTTCAGAATTTATTTTATTATGAATGAACAGGTTTCAACAAGGTTTGTGAAAGATAAAAAGGAATAAAATATATTTAATGTATCCTAAATCTTACTCTCAATCTTAATGGGACTGTGTCTTGACTTTATTAATGATCTGTAAGCTTTTTTTTTTTTAGATTGCAATTATCAAGACAAAGGAATTCTCTGTTCCTTTTTTAGTGAGCGTTTTCATATAAATGCTGAAATTATATTTTTCTTAATGTCTTCTTTTCTAGATTTCAGGAATAAACTATTTGAGAAAGAATGTAAAGATAGAGAACTTATGTGATATTTTGAGTGTTTTTGTTTCCAGATAATACTAGTTTCAAGGGAAGATGACAACTGAAAGACAAGCTACAAATGAAAAATTTAAGTTCTGTCACAGATAAAAGGCATGCATCTGAGTATCTCCTCTGTTTAATCAGTGATTTAAACAGCATAATTGCTTTAAAAAATTGTCAGAAATGAATATTAATTTTACTAAGTGTGACCTTTCAACTGAAAAAATAAATATTCTTAGGAGAAGATAAACATTGAACAAGATAACTAAAGAGGAAACAATTTGCAAGAAAAAAAAGTAAAATAAATGAAAGCATAAACACAGTAATGACATTAGTAAAGACAGAGATTTGTGTAGTGCTTTAGCATTTACAAAACTCGTTCATATGCTCTTTTTTATTTGAACTTAATAATGATTTGTTATTATGGGTATGTTTAGGTATTATTATCCTAATTTTCAGATGACTTAGCCCAAAGCACTCAAACGAGCTACTTAATAGTGAAAGTAAATCTCAATATCATTTTTCATGTCCATTGTAATTTGGAGATTGATTGAATATAAGAAGTGGCAGACAAGAGTGTGGGTGTATGAAATAGCCTATGGATATATATTTGAAAATCCCTAATAGAAAACTGAGACTAGAAACCATAATTATAGGTGAATGCTTCTAAAACAGTATGCAAATAGTGGTGACCAGAGAACTGAATCATAGAAAACAACATTGAGTTCAATGAGGATGGAGAATTGTAAAATGAGCTAGAAAAATAGCAGTGAAAGGGCAATAAATAAAGACAAAATAGTAGAAATTTAAGTAGGAGCACATTTCCTATGAAAACAAGTGTTCACAATGGAATGAAGATGGAGACAAAGTTATAGAATTTTGTGAAATGACATTATAGGAGACATTAGCACATTTAAAAAGAAAAACTAGAATGAATGGACAGGAAATTATTAACTTGAATGTAGTATTAATAGAAAAAAATTGTTACAAATCAATTACCTCTATGGAACCAATAGACAAAGTGTAAAAACGAGAAGTCATCATATAGATAAATTATTTAGAGACATGGAAGTAATCAGCAAATGAAATAAAATAAAAACTCATTAGTATTTTAGTATATTTGTGCCATTAAGTTATACTGATATTTGAATATCTTGTCATCAAATACAGAGATATGGATCCAACTTAAAACAATGGTGGCTTTTAAAAATAGGTAAAATCACAAAATAGTGTCAGAAAAAAACTACCTTCTAAGTCTTGACTAATATGCATGTATCTCTTAAGCTTTTAAAAATTCTGGAAATCTGAGTGGTATTTAAAAATATTTCTATCCTTTTCAAGAAAGATTTTGTTGAATGGCATCATTATTTCTTGTGTTCTAGTAGTTCAGCCATCTTTACTAACTCATCAGGAATATTCCATCCTTTGTCCCTCTAAACCATGAGCAGATACATGACCTACCTCTCTCAGGCACCTTTGTTTTTTGAAATAAAATTTTTATTGAAGTGCTAATGGTTTACATCACTGTTAAGGTTTTTGAAGTATAAGATGTACATCTTCAGATGTCACCATAGCATAACCACTACCAATTAACCCATTGCACACTATCCTTATCTTGTTGTATATTTATCCATTGTACCTCCCTCACTGTACTCTATCCTTATCTTGCCCACACCCCTCCCCTTTTTAAAGGTTCTCCTATCAAGCTGGCATGAGACTTCTCTGAGGAAACCACACAAGCAAGGAGAAAACCGAATAGCTTTTTCAGTATGGAAATAAAATTTAAAAATTCCGTTTAACAATACTACATATTGTAAGGTTCTCCTTCTGGTACAAAGAAGAACTAAAGCTCTCACCAAACAATCAAGGTGAAGGAGTTTGCCAAAACTATACCTTTCCTAACAGGAATGTTGAAGGGAGCCCTCCTATCTAAATTGATAAATGAAAATCCTCACACAAAAACATGAATAGTTAAAAATATAGAATTAAAAAAATCTAAAGACAAAATGATAAGAGCAAATGTTTATACAATCATGGTAAATTTAAATGGATTGAAATTTAAATGGATTTAAAGATCAAAGAGTGAGTGAGTGGCTAGAAAAGAAAACACAATATTCTGATATTTCCCTGAGACCCATTTGAGCTCCAAAAATAAATATAGGCTAAAAGTAGATGATTGGAAATCATTCTTAAAGACAAATGGGACCTAACAAAACAGAGAGCGCATACTTAATTCATTAATTCAAAAGGACATCTGCACCCCTATGCTTATTGCGGCACTATTTAAAATAGGGAAGATATAGAACC